CCTATAATAAGTCCAAGGCCATATTTTGTGGGGCAAAAGAAAATAAGACCCTGTCTTATTTTTGGGGAAACACGGTAAAAGTTTGCTGCAAATTAGAATGTAGAAATTAATATTTACCTTAATTTGTTCACTGGTTATGCAAGGTGTGTTTTTCAGCAAATTTATATAAACTCCACCTGGAGTTCTTCTTCTAGAACCATCCTGGAATGATGAAAAAATAAACCTTTTAAAAACAACAAGCGTAAAAGATATCAAATGTTTTGTTGTTTGGAATCTGAATATATATCTGAGGTACAATGAGAATAGAAAATGCAAATATTAGTTACTTGTAAAAAATATTAACAGGGCTTTATATAATTATTGAAAGAGTGACTGTATAAACTGTAAAAAAAAATATTGTTTGAAGAATCAAATGTTTTAAGAAATAAAGTAGCAAATCAGTTGAGATTATGGTTTCTCCCTATATTGTTTCTCCTGAGGGTTTCTGGCAAGATAGCAATGTATTACAATGTTATTTATTTCTCTAGCTTTCCACAATGTATGGAAACAGTATTTGTATTTTTTCCCCAAAAAAACACCTGGTAAGAAAAAAACAACACCAAAACCCCCAAATTATATTGTTATTTGTTATTCCTATTGTTTTGGAGAGATTAAAAGTTAAGTTTGGAAACCTCAGCGAGAGTCTTTCTGCTTTGGCTTCTTTTCCAACTGTGCAGACTTCCTTCAGACAGTCTCTCATCTCTGATTTCTATAGAATCTATTATAGCTGGGAGTGAGATTTTGAGTGAAAAATTATCCATACATCCCTTCATGAGGTCTGGCTGAAACCCCAACCCGAAAGGGAAATATACAGACAATAACTCTCCTTCCTATAATTCACATATTTTCTGAATAAAAAAAATCATCTTTCCAATTCTTCTCCTCATGCAAATACATTTTTTTTATTTTTCCCACAGTCAAAATTCATGTAGAAAGTGTCAAAAGTAACCTTTATTTCCCACATTTAATTTGTTGCTGGAACTCCTAATGTGTATAATAAATCAAAATAGTGATATCCAGGAAATGTGTGGATTCCTGAATTGGAACACAAATGTTTATTATTTGCAGGTATTTTAGCGTTTTCTAAAATTTATTGAAATTGTGTAATTGTATTGGAAATATTCTGGGGATACAATAACCAATATGTTTAATGTTACATGATAGGGTAATTAAGTACTAAGAATGTAGGTAAAATTTAGTTTATTTTACACAATCTGTCAAATACCAAGGAATTTTAATTATGGAAAAAGGTTATCCTGCTTTGTGGATACAAGTATTATTATTCAGATTAAAGAGACTGATGAAAACACTCCTCTAAATCCATGGAGTAGAATAATTATGATGAAAATGAATATTGCTTCAAGACTGATACCTATTTTCAGAAGAATATAAAGTATTGGTTTCACTGAAATATTTCACACACTGACAAATTAATAGTTACATTTTTATGGAAGGAATGAATACCTAGGATTTCTCTTTCAAACCTACTACTTGTACATGATGAAGGTGGTTTCAGTATCTTGATTTTAGAAATTTCTTTCAAACCTACTATTTTTTACATGATGAAGGTAGTTTCAGTTTCCTGATTTTAGAAATTTCCTGATTTTATAATTAAGCATGTGTTAACTTCAAGAAGACTTTATTATGAAAAGGAATTGATTATTCACCACTATAAAGAGGCTCAACTGAAGTGTTATTTTAACTCCTGGCAAGGTCTAGATTCTAATACAGCAGAAATGTGTTTATATTTTTCCACCCTGAAGATAGTTAAACACATTTGGATCCTACTGGGAATAAAATTCAATAGATTCCTGTTTGCATGAGAAATTGATGCTGTAGACCACAGCTGTCATTGTGGCCCGCGAGCTGGATGCGTCACATGCTGGCCATGCCCACACCCAGTTTAGCGAAGGGGCAAAAAGTCATGATACATCGCATGATGCTGCCCTGACAACACGGGTTTGACACCCCTGTTGTAGACTAATCCTTATTTCAAAACAGCTGGAAAGACTTTGGGAAGGAGAGAGAATTTGGGCTGAAATGAAAATAATGCTCTCATTCAGATAATAACAATGCCTTCAACTCTTCTAAGCTTACTGATCTCTGAGCTTACTCGTTTTCTTGCAGATGTTTCATTACCCAAACTAGGCAACATCATCAGTGATCACATCTGCAATGAAATATCTGCAGGAAAACAAGCAAGCCCAGAGAGCACTTCATTTCAACCCTGAGCTACAAATATTCTCCTTTATTTGTACTCTTCTAAGGAGTGCAACTGCGTAATACAACTGAATATTACAAAGCCTGTAACAGTTTTTCTAGGCATATTCATTTTAAGACCTAAAGTATTTCATCAACCAATCTGCCAAATTATGGTCAAATATTATAAAACATTAAGTCAGGGGTGTCCAACCTTGACAATTTTTAAGACTTGTGGTCTTCAACTTCCAGAATTCCTCAGTCAGCCATTTATTTCAAATCCAAAGTCATTTTTCCAGTAAGAATTGTAAGTAAATAATAAGCTAATTCATTAACCATCATCAACACTAAAGCTCATTGACGAATGTCTAATTTGCAATCCTAACATGAACCAATAACGCAATTTAATTCAAAGAGGATTGATGTGAATGTATTGTGCTTTTAGGCAGGTAGAATTGCCAAAAGAAAGTATGAGGTGTACAGGTAATCTGATAAGGATAGTGATTGTGGATATGAAAGAACTTAGTAGGCAAAGTGGCTCCTCAAGTGGATCTATCTGGTTGGTAGCAACAAAGTTATTTATTGGATGATAATGAGTAATGGAATCAGGCTGGACAAAAGTGACATCATCAGTAGTAACAATGAGAGCAAGCTGGAAAAATATAGGAAAGGAAATACCATTTGGTCCCATTTAGTATTAATTAAGCTGCAATCCTAACAAACTACATGTATAAAGAAATAACAAATTATTTCTTACCATGATTAAAAGACCTCCATTTTGCTCCACCTCAGCTGTTTCCATCAGTAGTTCAATAGATTTCTTTTTCCCAATGATTTTCACTACCCGTACAATTAGATCTTTCTTTGGTTCATGAAGTCTGAAAGAAAGGTGAAAATGTTATATTTGCCAAATAATTTGAGTGACAATATTTTCAAAAACAAATCCATTACTACAAATTTCAATAATCTTTTGGTCTATCTTATGTCAGTTTTCCTTTTGCAGCCATAATTACGGTGACATGGAGAGGTGTATAAATGTATACTGCCTATGAGAAATTAAGTTCTGGAAGGGTAACCTATTTAGCACTCTGAATAACAAAATACTTGAAGGTACTGCAAAGTTGTTTATCTCAACAACAGCCTTTCTTTAAGACCAAAAATACATTACTAAATTTTTTTTTCAAAGCCAGAATATGTTTATCTTTTGCTATTATCTTAAAATATGGCTTTTGTTGAAAATCTCTCAAATAAAAGATCAAAATCTTACCGATAGGCAATTTCATCTGCCACTTTTTCTTCAGGATCATCTTCTGTAATTTCATACCTCCCTTTAAAATTCATTTCTTGTCTTTGACCCACTCTCTCTTTTATGGGCCTTTTCCGTTTCCAGAGACTTTGTCTATTCACCTCCCACTCCTCCTCTTTTGATACAATCTTTTTATCATCTTGCATATATTCATCCAACTCTTTGTCTAATGTCTTCTCTACTTCTGATTCAGATTCTTTCACCAACTGTTTTGCTAACATGTAGTTGTAGGCCTCTGATCCTCGACTTTTGTCCAGGTTGCCATCCATCCATAGAATCCCAAGGTTTTTTGCCATATCATCTTGATTCTGTCTTTGCAAAACTTCACCCCATATATTGTTGACTTTTTTAGGGATCTGTTTGTGAGAGTTTGGAGGAAATTGGAAAAGCTCTGGTTTGGGGGGAGGAAGGTTTGAACATTTTTGTCGCTTTCGCTTCCATAGACCACTCTCTTCATCAGAATCTGAAAAACTTTCATCAGTTGAATCCATACTTTTCACTGTCCGATAAGGAACACTTGTTGCTGATTGTGAACTGCTGCTTGGAAAAGATATTGCTGGATTACCGTTATCGTTCTGAAATATAAATGTATGGTACATATTTATATTAAAAAAAATCACTTGTACTATTTTTACTTTTATGTACCCTAGATAACATCCTAGAAAAAAATTGCTGAAAATTTAGTAGGGATTAATTAGAAATCCATAGTTTGCAGACATTTATATTGGGGGAGAATATTCAGAGAGCCCTAACACACACAAAAAATTAAGGGAAAATTTGGGCAGAGTGAACAGAACTTCAAGTACAACAGAAAATTTAACAGAGTACTTTTCACAACTAATCATGTGTATAAAAATAATCCATATTATTACAATATTTTTTAATTAAATGTTATTATGTCAAACCTTGCTCCTTAATGCAGATATTAGTCCAATATATTTGAAGTACACATATTGCTTGATGAAATGAAAGAATATATAATCCAATTGATGAAAGTTCCATTGACAATGTGTAGTCCTCAATGGAACTGCATCTTCATGGAGGGAATTATGCAGTGGAGTGCCCCAAGGCTCTGTTTTGGGCCCAGTACTCTTCAACATTTTCATCAATGATTTGGATGAGGGAATAAATGGGGAACTCATCAAATTTGCAGATGACACCAAGCTGGCAGGAATAGCCAACACTCCAGAGGTTAGGCTTAAGATACAGAAGGATTTTGACAAACTTGAACATTGGGCACTATCTAACAAAATTTAAATTCCATGGTGAAAAAAGTAAGGTTCTACATTTAGGCAAGAAAAACTGAATGCAGTATACATTATATATGGTACCTTGCTCAACAGTAGTAACTGTA